AGGGCTACAGATTGTGGGGGTTACAGTCCATGGGGCTACGGTCCATGGAAGTTGCAAAGAGTCGGACACGACTGAGCACACATCACTTCAGTAAAATTTCAGGGCGGCAGGGTGGGGCGGGGTGAGGGAGTGGGGGTGGCTAACCTCTGGGCAGCACTTTTGCACCAGCAAAGTGGATGTTCTAGGAAAGCAGGAAGGTGATTGAAGTTCAGCCTCATGGGAAGGAGAAAGGCCTCCTCTCATCCTTTGGGGATGGAGCCTCCAATCCAAAGTCTAAGCTCAGGGCCACCTGCAGAGCATCAGGTGCCTTTTCCAGACAAGGTCATCACATGTGTGAGCGGCTGGCACCTGTCGGCTACCTGCTTCTCCTTTCTGGCTGATGTGGGGAGGACAGAGTGGGCGAGTGGGCACTGCACCCGACTGCCAGGGTGCGTGCTGCACTTGGCATCTCTGGGCTCAGGTGAGTGCCATGACCTTGTGTGGCCACCTGCTTCTCCCTCTGTAAAGGAGGAATAATATCAGTGCCTCCTGCAGGCTTGTGGTGAAGACGAAATGCAGTTCAGCCCAGAGGGAGCCTAGCCCAACACCTGCACACTCCCCATGCCCAACACAGGCTGGTGGTCCTTGTAATTAGGAACCCAAGGTCTGAGTTAAGGAGGAGACCCTGGGAAGTGTCTGGGAAGTTTCTCTGCATCTTTAACTGGGAGTGGGATAGAGGAGAGCTTGATTCTCAGGGGTTGTCTGTTCATATTGGCCCCAGATGAAAGTGATTGTAATTAGTGTAGGTGGTTCTAGAACCCTTCTTAGAAGTCACTAGGAGAGTTTGTAAAAAATGCATGTTCTTTTTAAAAAAGAGTTATTTTAGTTTTGTTTATTTGTCTGGCTGCACCAGGTCTTAGTTGTTATGTGCAGGATCTTCGATGTTCGTGGCAGCATGAGGGATCTTTAGTTGTGGCATTTGAACTTTCAGTTGCGATACGTGGGACCTGGTTCCCTGACCAGGGATCAAACCTTGCCCTCTTGCATTGGGACCGCGGAGTGTTAGCCACTGGACCCCCAGGGAAGACCCAGAAAACACGTTCTGATTTAGTGGAAAGGGGATGAGCCTGAGGTCCTGCCTTCCCCTTATCCTCCCAGTTGTTTTCTGTGCTGCTGCTCTGAGGACCACAGCTTGAAGTCACAAGCAAAGGTCCGAAGCAGCCAGATGATTTTTCATGGGGACCCTGTTGGTGGGGACGCTCGGCTCCTTGAGATGGTAACTGTACAGAAGAAAGAGGCATCTTATTGCCTTAACAAGAGTGCCAGGAAAGATTTTTGGTGGGAGGCGTGGGGGGGCATTTAAAATGGCCCGTATGCCTGTGTAACTCAGAATGAGAGAAAAAGCCAATGTCATCTTTTCAGTGGCATGCACTGAACTCTGTCCTCTCTCTCAGGATCAGCCTGGCTGATAGCCAGCTGAATTAACTTCAGAAGAGGCAAGCTCATTAGCTGGCCTGTGGAGCAGCCTTACTGGCCTGCAGCCTAGGTAAAGAGCAGCGCCAGGCTACGGAGGAAGCCACGATGTTCTATAAACACAGAGATACAGGCTCGTCCTCCCTCCCTCGAGCCCCCCTGTGAATGTCAGGCACACATGTGCACACATGCCCGCTTATCTCTTGCTTCATTTCCTGTTACACAGGATTTGGGGGGAAACTCCTCCTCCAAGCAGCTGATTAAGAGTTTGAACCAAATAGTGGTTATCGGGTGCTTCATCAGCTGTTGTTGTTGGAACCATCGAGTACCTTGGGCTTCGAAGGAAAGTATGATTCAGCAGGTCCTTTTTTCCAACATTTTTTTTTTTCTTTTTCTAATTTTGGGCTGTGCCACACGGCATGCGAGATCCCAGTATGCTGACCAGGGATCAAACCTGTGCCCCCTGCAGTGGACGTGTGGTGACCCAACCCCTGGATCACCAGGGAAATTCCCCTTCTCCAACTTTAGATTTTGAAATAAATTTTTGCTTATCTGTCTCAGCTCTCGGCTGGGAGAACCCATCCTGGGATTTAAGCTTTCCAGGTTGGATACCCAATAGAGGAAATAGACCACTGTTTCTTTTTTGTTTTAAATGTAGGTCTGTTTTTTGGCTGTGCCATATGGAATGTGGGATCTTAGTTCCCTGACCAGGGATCGAACCTGTGGCCCCTGCATTGGGAATGCTGACTCTTAACCACTAGACCACCAGGAAAGTCCCCTGCCATTGTTTCTTGCAGCCATTTCCCTTCCTTCCTTTGTGCATGATGAATTCTCCCCCTTACTTAGTTCTTGTGATTTATTATTATTATTTTTAGCAGCATCTATTGCAGTTGGCATTTATTCACTGTGCTGATATAAATTTGGAGTTCGTGGAAATTTCTGGACCCAGCCCTGTCCCATGGGACTTTTGGAGTGAAGGAGGAATTCGATGTTCCCCAGCTCCTGCAGTCTGCCTTGTGGAAAGGTGGTGGGTGTTTCAGCGTAGAGATGGCAAACGACTAATTCCTCTCCCCTGTGCAGACGCAACCAGCATCGGAGAGAGCCACCCTTGGCCCACTCCGGTGCCTCCAAAGCTCAACCCTCAAAGCCATGGGGGACATTGATCCCTTGATGTGGCTTTCTTCTCACTGGAGTTTCCTTTGGAGGGTCATCCTGCATTTGAGTGAGAGCAGCCATGGATTGGCCCACCTGCCCTCGTGTGGGTGATGGAGGCAGCGTAGCGTGCTCGGGAAAGTGCTTGCTAAGATTTCCAGAGGCGGTGGGGTTCCAGCCCCGCTTCTGCTTGGGATTCTGCAGCTGTGGCCCATCCTGGAGATCCTGAGGCTGGGAGTTGCCTGGTGAGCGCTGGGTGTGGGGGTGGGGGTGGGGGGCACAGGTCCTGGGGTGTTACTGAGCAGCAGCAGGCAGCTTTTAGGAAGCCCCACTGTTGGGGGCCCGGCTCCTCTCACACCCAGTGTGGTGTGATTCGATTCTTCACAGGATCAGATACACAGACTCTCTAAGACTGAGCTGGAAAGAAAGGCTCCAGTAAGGAGACCCTTCCTGTCTTCTGGGGGTTGAAGGATTGAGCACAGGGACCCACGTGCCTCCTTATGAACCTGACACCATGTCTCTGAGCAGATTAGGGTGGTGTCCTGTGTGGGCTCTGCCAGCCTTTGCCAAATGACCGTCTGAGGATCTCAGTCCTCCGGGGTCTGATCTGAGGATCTGCACCCCTTTGCTCACCTGGAGTGTCAGAGGGAAGCAGCGTCATTCTGAGACCAGAGTTGGGGTGAACATTTGAGATCCCAAGATGAGGGTGGCTTTCAGAAACAAGTGAGAGGAGCCTGCTTCAGCTTTCTGCTGCCCCAGGGAGGCTGCATAAGGTCCCTCTAACCTGTGCTACTAGTCACCTTTTCCAGAGATGCATGATGGAGAATGCATTCCGTTCCTAGGCCAGTGGGACATGAGCTTTTTCATAACATGCCTGATACTCTTGGGAGGGGAATTGCATCTCCTTTCTGGGCTGTGTGAAATATGGGGCGACTCACAGATCGCGTTCCGCTGAGCAAGTGGCTTGGCACTGTCTGCTCTTTAAGCATGAGCATGGATTCTGTTTAAAGTTTCATTGTACAGGTCCTTGTAGCTCAGCGCCAGCCGTGCCTGACCAAGGGCGCCTGGTATTCTCTGCTACAGCTCTTCCGCTGACTGCTTTCCAGAAACTAGGCACGAAAGTCTAGGTCAGAAGCGTTTTTGTAACATGATCTGTACCCAAATGTGTCTCTCCATCATCTTGGCACATCTTGTTCTTCTCCAGGGAATAGGGTCCTGCTGGGGACAGTGGTTCATCTCCAGGGCAGGCTTGCCTTGTGGCTCAGTGGTAAAGAACCCGCCTGCCAACGTAGGAGATACAGGTTCAATCCCTGGGTTGGGAAGATCCCCCAGAGGAGGAAATGGCAACCCACTCCAGTATTCTTGCCTGGAAAAAGCCACGGGCTAGGAGGAGCCTGGTGGGCTAGTCTGTGGGGTTGCAAACAGCTGGACACAACTTAGCAACTTGGCAGCAGCAACATTCTCAGGGCAGCTTTTTGGTTCAAGACGAAGGATGTACAGCCATGTCTTGCCCTGTTGTAGGCAAACTCATCTGGCTCTGGTGTGCCTTGGGCTAGAGGCTGTAGTTTATAATTTCACACTATTGCTACCTCTTTCCTGTCACCCTAAATGTACACATCGTGGGGGGAGGGGCAAGAGTGGAACACAGTAAATGGCATTTCTAAACTTCTCATTTTTCTTTATTCATAAAATTTTTAATGAATTTTTACAATTTTAAATTGCTCACAAATTTGTATAAACACCACTCAGGTTGATTTTCTTTCTTTTTTTTTACGTCTCCTATAGATGTATGTGTGCGTTTCTGCTGGGTATGTTCCTAGAAATCGGATTGCTGGGTCCGAGGGCGGGCACCTGTATAGCTTTCTTAGGAACTTTTGGTTTGTTTTGCAAAGTGGTTGTGATCATTCACATTCTGACAAGGAAGGGTGAGGGTCCCAGGTATTCCGTGTCCTTGCCAGCACTTGGCATTTTCAGTCTTTCTGGTTTTAGTCTTCTAGAGGATGTGAAGTGGTGTCTCTGATGACTGATAGAGTTGAGCATCTTTTCATATGTTTATTGGCCACTTTTCCCCCTTCAGGCATCTGTTCAAGTCTTTGGTCTATTATTCGTTGTTGATTTGGGGGAATTCTTTATACATTCTGGATAGGAACCCTTTGGCGGTATGTATTCTCAAGAAAACTCAGATTTTCTCTAGGCACGTTAAAATCGTGACGGGTTCACAGTCGGAGGCCCTTCCTTCTGCCTCGCCCCACCCCCCCTGCAGCACTGTGGAATGCTGGGAAACATCTCCCAGAGGGCATTACGACAACACACTCATGGCTGGGTGAGGATTTAGCATTGGCTGTACTTGCCTGCTACTGGATTGTGACCGAATGCTGTTTCTTCCTGATGTGCAGGGTCCTTGTGGGTGCACCAAAGGCGGATTCCAAGTACAGCACTTCAGTGAAGTCCCCTGGGGCTGTGTTTAAGTGCCGCGTCCACACCAACCCTGACCGGAGATGCACCGAACTGGACATGGCTCGAGGTGGGTAGATTTACACTGCTAAGACGGGGATGGGTTCTGCACCCTCATACTTTCCTCTTTTTGTTCCTGATCATCCACTTTTCCTTCTCTTACTCATTCCCTCCTTCCCTCCCTCCCTCCCTCCCTCCCTTCCTTCCTTCCACCCATCCACCCATCCACCCATCCATTCATCATGTGCTGAGTACCTGTTACTTCCTACGCACTGGGATATACCAAACAAAGATCCTACTCTCCTGCGCCTTACCAGTTAGTAGGTAAAAGAGACATTAAAACAAATAAAGATCAGAGAAGAGGGGAGGTGAGCATTTGATCTGATCTAGATTGGAGGGTCTGGGGAAGTGACTTTGACACTGGAAAGATGCACAGCGTTTAGCTGGGCAGGTTCTGGAGGCAGAATCTCCAATGGGAGGAAAGTTTGTGGCATTTTAAAATGCAGAGCAAGCCCAGCATCCCTGGAGTGGTGAGCAGGGGATCATGGAAGCAGGGGAGGATGGCATGGTGAACTGGGGTCAGGTGTTAGGATTCTGTTTTACGTACAAGATGGGACGCTATTAAAAGCAATGTTAGGTTTTATGATTTAAGTAGGCAAAGATATGATTGATAGGTGTTTTTAAAAGCCCTGTTGGTCTGGTGGAAAGTTCATCATCTTTGGATGTCAGATCTGCCTGGGTCGGAGCTCAGCTCTGCCTGTTACTTGTTGGGACTTACTGGATGTCTTAGAGCCTCTTTGACCTCCGTTTCCTCACCTGCAAAATCAGAAGGATGATAGCTATCTCACAGGGATTACTGTGAGAGGACTGATGGGACAATAGAAGTGAATACACAGAACTGTGCTTGGCACAGGGGCGGTTCTCAAAGTAGCAGTTATTTTACAGTAGTCATCACTTCGCATCCTCGATTTCACCAAAGTCCTTTCTCCTCAAGATCTTCTATTATTTTTCTTAAATGAGGAATTGTCATGCTTTTCTTTAGCAGAATAAGAGGGGTATCCATGGCATTCTACATGACTGGTTTGTGGGCTGTTACTGGTCCATAACAAATTAAGGAGCTTACTTTGTAACATACCTCAGTGCCTTGCTTCCTTGGTGAAAAGTCCTGCTATGAAAAAAAGTCGGACGAATTAAACAACATCCATGGTGGTGGAGTCAATTTACATCTTGTTTTAAGTCCCTCATTTATGGGCTGGTGATGTGGTAGGCGCGGGCGTGCAGCTGTTCCCTGAGACCCTTAGCGCGACTGTTAGAGGTCGCGCTCCGCCAACGGTCAGCGGGGCGGTGTTCTTCTCAGTGAGGAGTGTGGTGAGAGGTGGATGTCGGCCTTCTCCCCGGCCCTCCAGGCCCTCAGCCTCAGGCAGCAGATGAGGCGGGGCCCCGGGGACAGGCCAAGCTGTGTCCTGCAGGCTCCTGAGCCGTCGTCACGGCCTCCCTGGGTTGAAGTCTGAGGAACCCCGCCCCGATTTGGGCGGCCTCAGGGCCGCTGGGTGCTGGGTGCCTGGCTCCCTCAGCAGTGACGGCCCCGCGGGGTCTGGGCACCCGTCCCTGAGGGGGCCTGGGGCTGAGAGCCGCCTCCTCAGCTGGGCTGGACACTTGTAGGAGGACCCGGGCAGGGGGCTGGGCCTGCTCGGGGACCCCTCCTCACAGGCCAGGCCTGGCCCTCGGAGGATGAGAGTTGAGTTTTGGGACCTTGTCCTTTCTTGTCAGAACAGAGAATAATACTGGTTTGGGGGAGGTTTATGGGACCTGACCTCAGGAACAAAGGATCTGACACCAAGAAGTTTGTCACAGCCCCTCCCTCACTTTTCCTAGGAAAGGCCTTTGCTGAGAGCTTTCTGGGAGTTTGGGGTTTTAAGACACGAGCCACCTGCCTCCTAGCAGGGCCCTGCACTGAAGCTTTCTCTTCTCCACCCTGACTCGTATTGTCTGGCCTCACTGTGCCCCCGGCCCAGGGATTCGCTTTCACTGACAGGAACCAACACGTGCATTGCAGACTGCCCTTTGGAAAGTAGACAGTGGCGTTCCTCAGTCCAGGCCTGACTTTTCTGTCTTTCCTACAGGAAAGAATCGGGGCGTGTCCTGTGGAAAGACCTGCCGGGAAGACCGAGATGATGAATGGATGGGGGTCAGCCTGGCCCGGCAGCCCAAGGCTGATGGCCGCGTGCTGGTAAGGCCTCCTGGGGGAGCCGTGGGGAGCGGGTGGCAGCCTGGAAATGCACAACTTTGACCCCTTAGCAAAGCTGGATGGCATGGCGATAAGGGCATGGCTTTGAGGTTGTCTCTTCTGGGAGACGGCTTGGACAAATGATTGGTCTTTTTATCTTCTTTATCTGTCAAATGTTAATAATGTCTATCCCAGGGTACTGAGATGTGGCTATTGAAAAAGGGCAAATGAAATGTATGTGGAAAGTGCTTTGTATTAATAAATTTCGATCATTACATGAGCATTTTCCTGTGGGTATCTTTTTAAGTTGAAGTGTAATTTACATAAAATTATTGTTTAGTTGCTGAGTCGTGTCTGACACTTTTGCAACCCCATGAACTGTTGGCCACACCCCCCATGTTTAAACTCTCCTCTGTCAATGGGGTTTCCCAGGCAAGAATACTGGAGTGGGTTGCCGTTTCCTTCTCTAGGGAATCTTCCCAACCTAGGTGTCCAACCTGAGTCTCCGGCACTGGCAGGCGGATTCTTTACTACTGTGCCACCAGGGAAGCCCTTACATAAAATGCGCAGGTCTTAAGATTACAGTTTGGGTTTTCACATTTATACAAACTTGTGTGACCACCCACCCATCAAGATATTTGTCATCCTAAGAGTTTTCTTATGTTCCTTACTGGCCAAAAAACCAAAACATAAAACAGAAGCAATATTGTATCAAATTCAATAAAGACTTTTAAAACTGGTCCACATGAAAAAAAAAAAATTCAATCACTGCAAGTGCTCAGTAGTCACAGAGGTCCACTGGCTACTGCGTCGGCTGGCACAGGGGAAACATGGCCACATCAGAATCTGTAACTGACCCAGAGGTCTTGTTTTGTCCACTTTTGTCCTTTACACTCTTCTCTTGAGGTATAACGCTCAGGTTCTTAACATGCCCAGTTTCACTGAAGAGCCTGGTACCTGTTTTCATGTATAGATGTACCTATGTTTCTGACTTCATAGGCCTTTTCTTGGAAGCTGTATAAATGTTTTTGCCATAAACATGAGGTCAAGAAGGGAAAATAATATTAGCTGCCATTTCTGGAGGGCTTCCTTTGGGCCACAGGCTGTAAAGCTGGGGGTTTCACGTATATTTAATCCACAGGGAAACCAGATTTTCCTAAAGAATCTAGGCAGAGTGTTTCTGACCCCTCCTGGAGGAGTCCGTTTTGCCTTCAGCTTCTCAGTGGCAAGGGTTCTTGGTCTGAATTCTGCCTGCTTCTCAGCACAAATCAGGCGTTTCCCTGTCGGGCCCCTCTAGGAAGAGAGGAAGCAGCTGGATGCTGTCGCCAGCATCACGGGGCCTCCCTGCTAGACCCCGTGGGTCATGCTGAGCCCCCAGCCCAGCATTCGCCTTGGTTTCCAGCCCTTTAATCACTGTCACCCACCACCCTGGACCCACTCCAACATCTGCCTTCCCCCAGACATGGTGGCCTGACCCTGACTGCATGACCAGGCCCAGGAGGCTTGTCTGTCATCCTTTCGGAAGGAAGACAAGAAGCTGATCCGTCCGTAAATCAGAGTGGCCTGAGGTCAATATTCAGAACAAAGGAGATGGTGGTCTGGTTCCCGAGAGCCCCGAACCTAGATCCAGAGGCTTCTCCCATGAAAACACTTCCCCTCCCTGTGGAAGGATGACTTCCATGTGGCTGAGAGCTTGTTCCTGGAGGGTCCTGCCTTATTGCAAAAGAGTACCGGGAGGGGGCTGTCTCTGTGGACATGTGAGGATCAGGGGGCCATTGAGCCAAGGAAGCTGGAAAGGACTAGCTGGAGTGTGATGCTCCTGTTCTAATTCATTGCATGCAGAGCTAATTTTCTCATGTTTTATGCAATTACTGTAGCATCTATTCTGGAAGCCACTCTGGGGGAGCGGGGGTGGGGGGGGAAGGAGAGGCATCCAGCAGCATCTGCTTTCCTCATGCCTTTTTCATACTGTGGTCAAAAACAACCTGAGGGCTTCCCTGCTGGTCCAGTGGTTAAGAATCTGCCTTGCAATGCAAGGGACACAGGTTCAATCCTTGGTCTGGGAAGATCCCACATGCAGCAGCGCAGCTAAGCCCATGCGGCAGAACCACTGAGCCACATGCTACAGTTACTGATGCAGTGAGGAGCCCATGCACCTCAACAGAGAATAGCTCCTGCTCACTGCAGCTAGAGAAGGCCTTCTAGAAGCAACGAAGACCCAGCACAGCCAAAAAATAAAATAAATCTTTTAAAGAAAAAAAACCCTACGAAGTTGGGACTTCCCTGCCAGTCCAGTGGTTAAGAATTTTCCTTGCAATATAGGGGGTATAGGTTCGGTCTCTGGTTGGAAAGCTAAGATCCCACATGCCTCAGGGTTAAAAAACCAAAACATAAAGCAAAAGCAGTGTTGTAACAAATTCAATAGAGACTTTAAAAATGATCCACATCAAAAAAAAAGTCTTAAAAACCAACACGAAATTTACCATGGTATTCATTGTTATGTGTATAGTATAGTAAACTATATATACATTGTTGTACAGCAGACTTCTAGAACTTTTAAATCTTGCAAAATAAACTCTAAACTTATTGAAGAATAATTCAGCCTCACTCCTCCCCCCAGACCCAGGCAGCTTTCTTTGCTTAAGAGTTTGGCTGCTGTACATACTGCATGATCCCATTCGTATGAGACATTTGTCTTTTTTGTGACCGACTTATCTCACTTGGCACAGTGTCCTCAAGTTTCACCATATTGAAGCATAGGACAAGATTTCCTCATTTTTTAAGGCTGAATAATATTCACTGTATGTATGTACCACATTTGCTTTATCCATTCATCTATTGATATTTTGGTTGCTTCCCCATCTATTTTTTTTGCCATGCTTCATGGCATGTAGGATCTTATTTTCCTGACCAGGGATCGGACCTGTGCCCCCTGCTGTGGAAGTGTGGAGTCCTGTGCCATTCATTGGACCGCCAGGGAAGTCCTACTTCCATGTCTTGATCATTGTGAATAATACTGCTGTGAATATTGGTGTGCAACTCTCTCTTGGAGATCCTGTTTTCAGGTGTTTTGAATATAAACCCAGAAGTGGGATTGCTAGATCTTATTGTGATTTTATTTTGGATTTTTTGAGGAACCCCTCTGCTGTTTTCCACAGTGGTTGTACCATTTTACATGCTTACCTGCAGTGCACAGGGGAGGGTTCCATTCTCCATGTCTTTGCCAACACTTTATTTTTTGTGTGTGGGAACTGCCCTAATGGGTATGAGATGGTATCTCACTGTGATTTGTATTGCCCTAATGAATAGTGACGTTGAGCATCTTCTCATCTGCTTATTGGCCATTTGTCTGTCTTCTTGGAAGAAATGTCTGTTCAGGTCCTTTGCTTATTTTTTAAATTAGATTGTTTTTTGTTGAGTTCTTCTCATGGCTTTTTGCACATATGCCATCTTGTCAGGAAAGGCCTATCCCAGGTCCAGTCTGTCCTCCCTGGTTTGGTCTCTGCCACCTCCATGAAACCTGTTACCATGATGGTGCTGTCTAGAACAAGCTGAGAATCTTGTGTCATCAGAAGTTCAGCGTTATGTTGTTTTATTACGTGCATGACTTGTTTTGTGCATATATGTCCTTTTTAATGGGAACCACTTGGGGATAGAGACCAAATTTTCGACCCTTTCCACTCTCAGCTCTAGGAGAAGATCTGTCTATGGAGTGGCTTCTAACAGTGTGTTTGAATAATGTAAAGAAAGTGAAAGTGTTAGTCGCTCAGTCATGTCTGACTCTTTGCAACCATATGGACTGTCGCCTGCCAGGCTCCTCTGACCATGGAATTCTCCACGTAGGAATACTGGAGTGAGTAGCCATTTCCTTCTCCAGGGGATCTTCCAGACCCAGGGATTAAACTGAGGTCTCCTGCATTGCAGGCAGATTCTCTACCATCTGAGCCACCAGGGAAGCCCTAATGTAGGGACTGAGTGTCAATACTGAAGCAATTAGAGACCAAATCAATTGCCATCTCTTTTTGGTGGCTGACTCTAAGTGATTGATGGATGCGTGAGACAAAGGCTGTAAAATGCCCCTCGGAAATGACAGGTGACAATAGGAGACAAGGAGGGCTGACCCAGTCCATATTTTTGTTTTGAAGGTTTCATATCCATTTGCTTTTTCTTTCATGTCTTATTTCTGCCTGTCAAAACTTTCTGGGAGGCAAGTGTTTATTTTAAAATTAAGAACAGGAAGATATGTTTTATTCAATCACATTTTGTGAACTCTGTAGTTGTTTGGGGGTGTCGGCCTCACACCAAATCCCCAAGAAGCATAATACTGGATTCCAAGATTGGGTTTGAAGTGGGAGAGGTGGGTTGGCTCTTTCTGAAAGTAGCATTTGATGCTGATTTCAAAGTAAAGAATGGATAGAGAGTTTGAAAGTTGCAATGGAGAGTTAAAAATCTTGATAATGAATGGCATTTTCTGGTCCACAGACCCACCAGCCGGTTCTGGCAAGATCCAGGATGCTGGGCTTGCTCTGGCAGGATGCCTTTAGCTCAGTATCTGCCAGTCTCGCATCCACCACCCCGTGGTTCCTTCCATCTCCCCAGGGAACAAGTGATAACACACATGAGTACCGCATCGGGATTCGAGGCAAGCCCTTCCCCTGTCCTTTCACTGCATGCTCCCAGTGTGCAGATGACAGTTTAAGAAATAGGGGGAAAAGTCACTTCTGGTAATAACTACCCAACAAACCCAGCATGGGCACTGAGCTGTCTCTTCGACCTGGGAGTGCAGCTCACAGTGTTCAAGTCTGACGTTTCTGTTTTTCAGCAGAGTCTGCAAGGCTCAGGCAACAACTAAAGACCGCATCTAGCTGACTTCTGGGGGGAAGCGGTGCTCTCCAGCTCTGTCTCTTGGCTGTTGCCTTTCCAAGGATCAGGGCTGTTGCTGTCTTTCTATTCACCACTTCTCATCTTGGCCATTTTTTCAAAGCCACAGGATATACTTTGCA